TTTTAGTAGAGACGGGGTTTCACTGTGTTAGCCAGGATGGTCTCCATCTCCTGACCTTGTGATCCGCCTGCCTCAGCCTCCCAAAGTGCTGGGATTACAGGCGTGAGCCACCACGCCCGGTGGAACTTTTTTTCTTAATTGATAGATAATAATTTTACGTATTTATGGGGCACTTGATATTTTGATACATGCATGGAGTAGGTAATGATCATCATATCAGTTTTCAATTTTATTGGCCAGGAACTATGGCTCGTGCCTGTTGTCATAGCACTTTGGGAGTCCAAGGCTGGTGGATCACTTGAGGTCAGGAGTTCAAGACCAGCCTGGCCAACATGGTGAAATCCTGTCTCTACTAAATATACAAAAATTAGCCAGGCGTGGTGGCACGTGCTACCTAGAGACTACATACCTACAACTCCTGGTAGATTGATTGCAGGGTTCTTTTTTCTTTCTTTCTTTTTTTTTTTTTTTCGAGACAGCGCCTTGCTCTGTCACCTAGGTTGGAGTGCAGTGGCACAATCTTGGCTCACTGCAACCTCCACCTCCCAGGTTCAAGTGATTCTCCTGCCTCAGCCTCCTAATGGGGATTAACAGGTGTGCGCCACCATACCAGCTAATTTTTGTATTTTTAGTAGAGACGGTGTTTCACCATTTTGGTCAGGCTGGTCTTGAACTCCTAACCTCGTTATCCGCCTGCCTCAGCCTTCCAAAGTGCTGGGATTACAGGTATAAGCCACCGAACCCGGCCCTCGGTTTTTTTTCTATCTGGGAATCAGGTTCTCCTTCTCCTTCCCATGTTCTGACTTCTATGAACAGTAGTACTTCTTACCTATGTTGCACCTCTCTGCCTGCATGCTCAGCTCTCTTGGCAAACAGAGCTTCTTGTAAGATGGGACCAAGTTTCACTCACCTTTATCTTCTAAGGTCCTTATGCACAGGGCTACATGTGTGTAGGATGCTTACTAAATGCTTTCTTTTTTTTTTGAGATGGAGTCTTGCTCTGTCACCCAGGCTGGAGTGCAATGGTAAAATCTTGGCTCACTGCAGCCTCCACCTCCCAGGTTCAAGCAATTCTCCTGCCTCAGTCTCCGGAACAGCTGTGATTACAGGTGCCTGCCACCACGCCCGCCTAATTTTTTTTTCTTTTTTTTTAGTAGAGATAGGGTTTCACTGTGTTGGCCATGCTGGCCTCCAACTTCTGACTTCAAGTGATCTGCATGCCTTGGCTTCCCAAAGTGCTGGGATTATAGGCATGAGCTGCCACTCCCAGCCTGTTACATGTTTTTCTTGTGTGAATTTACAAATATCAGCAATCGTTAGCTCCCCCTTTTCCAGTTTGTGACTAGCTTGGTTTGGGGGTCCCTGACACTTGAGTGTCTGGGTAGACTGTGGAAAGCTGATGTGGGTGAGACTAAGAGAGAGTAGGAGTGTGAGTGGGATCCCATGTTATGGGATCAACCTCTACTTCATAGGGTCCTTAATGATCAGTGGTTTCAAACACTTAAAAAAATCTTAGAACTGTATGACACAGCAATGCCACTTCTCGGTATATACCTCCACAGATTGAAAGCAGGGCATTGAAGGCCGGGTGTGGTGGCTCACGCCTGTAATCCCAGCACTTTGGGAGGCTGAGGCGGTGGATCGTGAGGTCAGGAGATTGAGACCATCCTGGATAATATGGTGAAACCCCGTCTCTACTAAAAGTACAAAAAATTAGCCGGGTGTGGTGGCGGGTGCCTGTAGTCCCAGCTACTCGGGAGGCTGAGGCAGGAGAATGGTGTGAACCCGGGAGGCGGAGGTTGCAGT